CCCGACCGGCCGGAGCGCCGGGGGGAGGGCGGCGAGCCCGCCGCGGCTCTCCGCTCTCCCCAACCGGCCGGAGCACCGGGGGAAGGGCGGCGAGCCCGGCCGGGGCCCCGCTCTCCCTGACCGGCCGGAGCGCCGGGGGAGGGCGGCGAGCCCAGTCGCGGCCCCGCTCTCGGGCCGGAGCGCCCCGCCGCGCCGCCCCCCTCCAGGCGCCGCCCCAAGCACATGCTTGGTGGGCTGGTGCCTGGAGCCGGCCCTGGTGGTGGACTCCTCCTTAAGTGAAGCTCAAGAGGGGTTCTTTGCTCCTTCCTCTCAGCCCCTTGCACAGATATTGGCCCACCCAGCACAATATTAGCTAACGTTGGCCATCTCTGCTCACTACTAGAATTTCCACTAGGGCCGGCCCAGTGTACCACTGCTATTGTTACCGGAGCGAGCTAGATCAAAGCTACCTCAGGTCTGTCTACACAGGCTCCAGTGTAGACAAATACACCCTAACTTTCCAAGCTGCCCTGACTAAAGAAGGATGCATAGCGGCTCAGGAGCAGAGCAGAGAAGGGATTGCAGCTTGGTTCATCCCCAGCTCGCCCCTCGGGGGGAAGTAGTGGATTGGCCATGACTTGCCGGCGGGACTGGCTGCCTCTCTAAATGAGACGCTGTCGCTCACACCAAAGTTAGGGGTGAAATGCCGCAGACTGCGTTATTGCAGGAGGTCAGGCCACATCATCCTGATGGTCCCTTCTGGCCTTGCAGCCTTGTTCCGGGGAGGAAGTAAATTACTCCACCTCGTTCCCCTGCGTGCCCAGCCAGCTGGAGAAGATGGAGGCAAGGACGCAGGACTCTCCGAGCACTTGCTCACAGCAGGGAGAAGCCTCTGCTCTCTCCACAGCAGCCTGACTCACAATCAGAGCAGTGAGGGGAACGTAACAAGGGCTCTGGTGAGGGGCGCCTGGGATGCGCAGAGCGTCAGTCCCCGGGGCAGCCTGTTCGAGCTCAGTGCTCCGTCTGTGGCCGCTGACGTACCGTGTGCCTCTGTCTCCCTGCAGGTGGATGCTGACGATGTCATCACCAAAGAGGAGCAGATCTTCCTGCTGGTAAAAGCCAAGTCCAAGTGTGAGCGCCACCTGAAAGTCAAGATGCACGGTGAGTGTCCGCGGCGGCGGCTGGGCGTGGGAGTCGAGCGCAGGCACGTCGCACGCGGGCTGTCCCCGGCGAACGGGCCTGGCTTGGATCAGCGTCTCTTTTCCACTCGCTTTCTATGTCAGGCTGCTAACCGCTGCCAGATGGCAGGAGGGGGCGGGGAGAAAACGCTCTCATGTGAGTGACTACATCTCTGGCCGGCCTGGAGTTCACAGCTGGGAATTATTGGAGCGGTGGCTGCATGCTGAGGCAGCGTCCCACCCAGCTAGGCCTGCACACGCTTCCTAGCCCCCCATCGCGCTCCAACCACACATGGGGTACAGAGGAACTAGCCCCCCCATATCACACAAATAGACATGCCCCCCCCCACACACACACCTTGCAGTGCTGCAGGGCCTACAGCCCCAAGATCACCCGCTGGCAAAAGCCTTCAGCGCCTAAGAGCAAGGAGCGATTCAGGAGCAGATGCAGCCAGACATCTGGCCTTCTATGCAGCCCACTGTGGCAAAGCCTGCCTCACGGAGACATCAAAAACCAGCTCTCTCTTTAGTTCAGGCCTCCACCTTTCTGTCAGCAAACTCCCCAACCCCCATTCTCTGTACCTCCTCGTTCTGTCCCCCCCCCACTGCCCAATTAACACCTCGTTAAGCAGCACACCTGCTTTACCCTGGTGCTCCCGCCCCAGGAGACCACTGCATTTGGTGGAATCTTAACGCACTGCATTGCTATTTGAAGATTATTGCAGCAGACTTTTAACCTCCTACCATGAGACAACTGCCCTGTGCATGGACCTCCCATTGCCCAACACTTGCGATCTAACCCCCGTCAGACTGCTGGTGTGCAGAGCCCGCGGCCTAGCGTGTCTCGTTGTTTCCCGGTAGCCTCCCACCTGTCTGCAGCCACCTGTTGCCTCTTGTCTTAGATTGTCAGCGCTTTGGGGCAGGGACTGTCTTTGTTGTGTGTTTGGACAGCGCCTAGCTCAGGACTAGGGCTCCTTGGTGCGACGGTCATACACGTCATAGTCAGAACAATGAATAATGAATACATAAGACAGCCTCTCCCTCCAAAAGTCTAGAGAAGACTTCTGCCAATCTAGAAAACATCTGCCAATCTAGAAAAGCGCTCCAGCCATCTAGAGCAGATGTGACCATCGAGAGCTCCCTTTGCAAGCTCGGGGAGGGTCTGATCAGCGGGATGGGGTGTAGGCCCTTTCTAGCAGGAACGAAAGACTGGAGCCTCCATTCTGTTAGCCCGAGGGAAAGGAACTGCTTGGCCACGGCTGCGGAAGCAGAGCTCTGCGAACTCAGCCTTTGCATTCAGCAAGTTTGTCTGCTCCTTCTCTTCTTTACTGTAAGGGACTCCCGTGTCTGTGTTCAGTGTGCAGCAGTGCCGCCCGGGGTGCCCATTCTGCATCAAGGGCGCTTGTCAGCTAGGTGGAGGCGCTCAGTCTGTGACCCGCTACCTCACTAGAGGCTCAGAGCACGAGCAGCGCGCAGTTCTCTTTGTCAGAGCGATGCACTGGAATCTGAGTTGTCGAAGGCCTCCTGAAACTTGCAGCCAAGCAGAGGGTTGGTTAACTGGGAGTGGGGCCCGACCTGCAGCCTCATTTGTACTTAGCGCTGTTGTCTTTCCAATCAACTGCGCTTAAGAGCATAAGAACGGCCATACTGGGTCAGATCAAAGGTCCATCTAGCCCAGTGTCCTGTCTTCCAACAGTGGCCAGTGCCAGGTGCCCCGAAGGGAATGCACAGAGCAGGTAATCATCAAGTGATCCAGCCCCTGTCGCCCATTCCCAGCTTCTGGCAAACACTTAAGTGCAAGGCAACAACCCCGGTCAATCTGGAAAGGACGTAATCCAGTCTTTGGATAGTCAAAAGTTTCCCATAAGTTTGAGAGGCAGCACGATCCAGTGGAGAGTGCACTGAACTGGGAGACAGGGGACATTGGCTCTGCTGCTGGCATGGGTGGGGCAGGGTGTGCGCTGTGGGGCTGTGCTGAGACGGGGACGCTGACAGCACAGGGGCTGGTGCGGCCGGGTGTGCGCAGTGGGGCCGTACTGAGACAGGGATGCTGACAGCGCAGGGGGTGCTGGGGCCGGGTGTGCGCAGTGGGGCTGTACTGAGACGGGGACGCTGACAGCACAGGGGCTGGTGGGGCCGGGTGTG